TGTATTATTGGAACAACCTTTTTATTTTTCTTATGAAAACGTTGTTTCTCTTATGTACAATATTTATATCCTGAACAGGGTATATTAATTTGACGAAGTTTGTTACACCCAAAAGGAAACGTCGGAGACCCTATAAAATATATACATAAATGATAGAGCTGAGTTGATTTAGCCATGTCCGTCTGTCCGTTTGTCTGTATATATATAAATACGCTCCAACGAAGCACATTAACTTTAGCGAAACTCAACCGATTTCAATGATTTCGGTGGCAAAAGGTAATAATAATAGGTAAGGTAATCGCATTGTGAAAATATTATATTAGTAATATGCACTTGCTTTCACCCCACACGCATAGCATAGCAATTCAGCTGAAAGCAAGTAGTTCAACAAATCGTAATATAGTTGAATGTGGAGAATATGAAGTGATGTTATATAACAGTCCACACTTGCAAAGCGTATCTCAAGAGATCAGTAACATGAAAACTGTTTCATCTTGTTTCCTAAATACAAAATTACTAGTTTTTCATCATAAAGTTGTTCGATCACACTATCTCCACTATATTTCTTCTATTTGTAATTTGTTAATGTTTATTACTTCCAGAATTTCTTGCTGCACGCTTGCCCTTTCATTGGGTGCTTGAATGAACGAAATCGATTGTGTATTACGTAAGTTATTGGTGTAAATGTGACAACAGCCCCCACTTCCGGGAGTCCTGCAGCGCTGGGTAAAGCAGTTCACATTGCGCCTTTAAGGTAGGCTACAGCAAATCATTGTTTTTCGCGGGAGCTACCTACTAGACGATTATATGCGCCTGGTATGATTTGTCCATTTGTGTAGTACGAGAAAAATTCTGCCTCCGTGTGGCTAGGGTGACCAGATTTTAATTTTTGCGTAAAGTGTTGGATGATTTTTTCCTTTCGTGCAAGTGAATTTAGCATATGAAACAATTATGTTATTAAATAGTTGGCATTTATTTAGTATTTATTTTTCTAAAATGCAATGTTTTCGTGTTTTTTGTTCTTAATTAAATTATTTTTAAGTCTGTATTATTGGAACAACCTTTTTATTTTTTTCTTATGAAAACGTTGTTTTCTCTTAGATTGTACAATATTTATATCCTGAACAGGGTATATTAATTTTGCCACGAAGTTTGTTACACCCAAAAGGAAACGTCGGAGACCCTATAAAATATATACATAAATGATCAGCATGATGAGCTGAGTTGATTTAGCCATGTCCGTCTGTCCGTTTGTCTGTATATATACAAACTAGTCCCTCAGTTTTTATGCTATCGATCTGAAATTTTGCACCTGCCCTTTTCTAACAAAGAAGCTGCTCGTTTGTCGGAACGGCCGATATCGGACCACTATAGCATATAGCTGCCATACAAACTGAACAATCGGAATCAAGTGTTTGTATGGAAAACTCTTTCATTTGACGAAGTATCTTCATGAAATTTGACATGGATTATTATTTGGAGTAACAATGAAATCTCCGAAGAAATTATTCAGATCGTATGACTATAGCATATAGCTGCCATACAAACTGAACAATCGGAATCAAGTGCTTGTATGGGAAACTCTTTCATTTGACGAGGTATCTTCACGAAATTTGACATGGATTATTATTTGGAGTAACAATGAAATCTCCGAAGAAATTATTCAGATCGTATGACTATAGCATATAGCTGCCATACAAACTGAACAATCGGAATCAAGTGCTTGTATGGAAAACTCTTTCATTTGTCGAGGTATTTTCACGAAATTTGGCGTGAATTATTATTTAAAGCATTAATCTAATATCCGAAGAAGTTCTATAGATCGGATGACTATATCATATAGCTGCCATACAAATTGAACGTTCGGAATCAAGTTCTTGTAAGGGGCCTTTGTATTTGCGAAGGGTATTATAGCTTCGGCGCAAACGAAGTTAACGTTTTTTCTTGTTTTATTGATATTTTGTTACATAGGTCATAGGATATATATTTAGTGTTACCAATCGTTGCCGTAATTATCTATTTTTTTATGAAGTATTTCATTTGGCTTTTAGGTTTTTATAGCTATGAAAACGTATTCCTTTTTAAAATCTTTATACATTTCATAATTGTTGTTACATTATTAATGGTTTTTTATATTTATAATTTCGAAATACTTATCTTATATATTTTTCAGTTAATTAAACCTAAATTGTTGATGACTTTTGAGTTTTTAATACCTTGCACTGTTCGTCTTTAATACTCCAAGGGGTGAAGGGCCAATTTGTTACAATTTTGTTTTTTATTGTAATAATTTCTAAATATATTAGTAATTATTGTTTTAAATAATGATTGTTTCTACGCATTATTGTAATCATGTTTGTGGTAAATATGTAATTTTTGTATGCTCCTTGTTATCGCCGTCAAGAATATACTTACGCTATGTCATCGTTTGATGTTGCATTTTCAATTTTGGCTAATCGTCCGTCCACACTAAAGCTATTCCTCTAAAAGTTCTGTTCCTCCTTCTACTTTAAAAAATACAGTTCTTTGCATTTGAAGGTTAGGTAACAAGGTAACACCAGATTGGATCCAAAACTAAAATTTTAAAATTACGATTTTGGAATTTCAGAGAAACAAATAAACAAATCGAGTTTAATATTTTCGTACATTTTCAGCATGGGTCCTTTCGATAGAGCCCTTAGCGATCACTGCCTTACATCCCATGAATTTCTGTATACAAGTTTATCTTAAAATATCCAAATTTTTGGACATAGAATGAAATGCGCATGCATAGATTTTTTATGTCATTTATAAGTACTCGGTGTGCTCTTTATTGCATTTTCAGAGAAAATTTACCGTAGTAATGTATATATGGGTGTGTGTTATACTATCAGAAAGTAGAGATTTTAGCAAAGTAAAGCATATCGACTTTTTTAAAAAATCTGACATTTTGACGTGAGAATTTTTGATATTTTTGATTGAAAATTAGAGTTATTTTTCGATTTTATGTCGACATAAGGTTTCCTCAATATTTTAAATTAAATTAAATACAGTGAGTTTGGTGCATAAGAAGGTAAAGAAGATAAAAATAAAAAATCCAAAAATTTGGATATTTGAATCTTTTACATAAATTTGAGGTTACGCGAAAAAAGGGTTGAGGGAAGGAAGGAGGAGGGAAATCAAGATAAACCGTTTTCAAACCTTAACCTACGTCCTTTCCCTTCCTCTTTCCGATTTTAGATCGCCCATAAATTATTTATCCTTTCATTATTGTTATTTCGTCTTTCGTTTTCAATGGATTTCAGCCTGGACAGGAAGATTACCGATGACAAAGTCGGATACTTTATAAAATATGTATCTATGTAAATGATCAACATGCTAAGCTGAGTCGATTTAGCCATGTCCGTCTGTCAGTCCGTCTGACTGTTTGTATATACGCGAATTAGTCTCTCAGTTTATGAGATATCGAGCTCAAATTGTGCACACGCCTTTTTTTACCTAAAAAGCTGCTCATTTGTCGGAGTCGCCGAGATTGGACCACTATAGCATATAGTTGCCATACAAACTGACGAGTGGTATTAAGTTCTTGTATGGAAATCTTTGGTATTTCACTAGATATCTTAACGAAATTTGGTATAGGTTATTTTCTAAGACAGCGTTACAATTTCTTAGATCAAACTACTATAGCATATAGCTCCAGCTTCGGTGCAACCGTTGTAAACGTTGTTTCTAGTTTGCTTTAAGAAATGTTCTACGCTTACCTCGAATAAGATATTCGATCGAGTTGGAAAAATATTGTAAATTAATTGAGATTGCGTTCTTTCTACGAACTACTTCTCTTGTGTTTAAAAACCCATCACTGTTTATCTAAATAAAATGCAATTTCATTCACTTTTATTAAAACCTAACTTTATTAATTAAAAACATCTGCGTATCTTTCATTTCTTACTTATATTAATATAATAAACAATGAAATTACAGTTATTTTTATTATAAATATTATTTGTTGCACAGTTACATACAACTTTACTGATATTATGATACTAAAACTTATTGCTTCAAAATGAACAGTTTCTTCAGTGAAACATTCAAAACCAACAAATATATACATACATTGTTTTGTATTTAGATATTTCGCATTTTCCGCCTTATGTGTGTGAGAGCTTGTAGCATAATTTATGGGCATTTTGATGCCTTGAAATACAATATATGAATACAAAATATGTATGTATGTAGATATTTCTTTTAGTTTGCTTAGTGCTGAGCAAATGTTTATATTTAAAACGTTACGACATATAAAAGTAAAAAAACTTGAAGTAGTATTTCATTTTTAGTGATTTGAAGATTCTATTTGAAAAACTTTTGAATGTTATGTTTGTTAATAAGCACATTTTTTACTTTACAAAAATGCAAAGTGCATATATGGATGTATGTTTGTATGTTTGTATGTAAAAGGCAGCGCAGCTAATTAAATTAGAACAAAAATAATATATATCGTTAATATTAATCATAAAAATTTATATTTATCCTCTATTACTAAAATTAAAATTTCCATGAATTTTCAATGTTGAAAACTACCAATCGAAGTTTTTAAAAAACTAGATTTATGATTTTTTAAACATTATCTTCATTGTTGTTGTTTGACTAATTACCGCAATGAGCTTCACTTACATTTTACATCAATGGTGTTGCCATATTGTTGAATCAGTTTATCATTGCTCCAATATGTATGTATGTATTGTTGTGCTCAGTGCTTTTGGTGGTACGCATAAGTTCTAGTTTGAGGTGAGCTACATGTTGCTGTTGAATTTGCATTTGCTTTTTTTAGTAATTTTGTTCATGCGCATTTCATCTAATAGCTGGCAGCGCCCTTGTGGGACAAATACAGGAAATATGTGCCAGTGGCGTAAGCCAAAAAGTTGAATACACCGAAAACGCCGGCCGCGATATTTGAACCATACGCATGGCTACGCGGATAGCTCGACCACTTGGCCAATTGCACGACGAACGCGATGAAGTACAGAAGGGCGCATATCGCGGTGTTGATCAATTCCTGCAATGAAAGGACAAATGGAGGTGTGTACAATTTTGTAAAAGAAGAAGTTACAATTTCGGCGTTATTGGTTAGTACAGTTATAAGAAGACATGCTGAAAGCAGAGTATTAAGATAAGATTTTTATAATCTATGCTACATAAATAACCCTTGACAAGATACGAATTTGAATGACCACTGAGCTGATACAGATGAAACATTTTAAGGGGTCATGGTCATATCCACTTGCAAATCAGAAGAACTAAAAATAACATATTCTTACAAAATTTAATATATTTGAATAATCGGTGATTCATTTTAAAAAATTCTGAATTCTCGTGAACTCGTAGCCGATCTGGATGTCCTTCAAAAACAAATGTCTGGCGGTGAGGAAGCTTTTTCTTTCTCAAATCCAAAATCCAAAAAAGAAAAAAAAATTATTGTAACAATAGATGAAAACAGGTATTGATCGAAGGCCTAGGAATGTCGTTTGAAAATTTCATGTCGATCGGTCCAGCCTATTCGGAGATATTTTGCTCATTGACTCTGAAAAAAGAGTTTCGAGAAAAACGCTTGTAAAGTTTTGGCCTCCAATTAAACCAGTATTATGGATGTTTTAATACATACTGAGAACTAAATTCACCGAGCTGCTGAAATGTTCTTAAGCAAAATTACCCGAATAATTTATAAAAACTCGCATTTACTTATTTCAGGTTAAATATTTGTTAAAATATTGTTATTAAAGACATATCAAATAAAATATTAATTTATATTAATTGTTTATTCTAATAATAATATAATAAATAAATTCTTATTTAAAAACTAAATACTACAAATTATTGTATATGAGTAGAATTTAAATGGAAATTATTGTATAATATATTTATCATATATTGAACTTACTGTGAATATCCAGTTGACAGCGACATTCAAAGCTTCACGTATACCCAAAAGATAGGCGAAAATCCATAAAATTGTCGCAATGAATGAAATTACAACCACAAAGAGGAAGAATGATGTGGCCGAAAAGTAAGCGGGTGAAGCACAGGCCATACATATAATGCCAAGTATCTGTTGATCGGAGTAAAAGTTGAATTATTAGTCAAAGGAAATATATAAACACAAATTCGCGTTTATGATTTATAATAGATAAAGAGTGTATGTACATATATTAAGAACAAAAAGAAACCAATCTAATATCGATAAAAATATATTTGAAAATGGGAGCCTCCAAAGGCCCCATGTACAATGTGTTCTAAGGATTAGCAATAACTAGCAATATTTACTCTGACGTCATTGGATGTAAACAATAATAATTAGCCGCTATTAAGTCTTAAGAGAGTGTGTTCGCCATATAAGTAGGGTCGTTACCATTTCAGACATACATAACACATGGGCTGAAAATGACCGGGCCTAACAAAGAAAACACGGGTTTTGTTGTTCAAAATTGGTTTATTCATAATATAATCTCCATCAAAAACAACAGAATCATTCCAGCGCCGCTCTAACATTACAATACTGTTTAGAATCATCAACAAGTTTCCAGAGAATGTGAATGAATTATTATTCTTATTAACATTCTCTGGTGTTATGGTCTCATTTGGAAGTGCACTGTCTTTTGCATCATTGGTGTCTCTACGACCACGTTTGAAGTCAACAAACCAACGCTTTATTATGGTTTCTGATGGTGCAGAATCCATATAACACTTTTCAAGCCCTCAAGGTGAATTCAATAAAACTAGTGCCATCTATGTTTGAGACCCGGTCATTTTCAGCCCAAGTGTGATTTATGCACAAAGTACAAGTTTCAAACTACTCCGCTGATTCAACACTAGTACTACTACTGTTCCAACATAAAAGTACCTTTCAATACTATATATTCCAAGAAATGTCGCAAATTTTCAATGAAAATTGCAGGCTACTAATATCCAAACGAACAGCTGTGTATAGGCCAGGTGAAAATTATGTAAGAAATTTATCTAAGAATAAAACAAAACTTAAAGGAAGAGAATATTTAGAAGGTATTATGGGATTCAGTAGAAAATTTTGTATTTAGAATTATTAAAAAAATCGTACGCATTCATCGAAAATATAAGAATCGCAAAAACTTGGAGTGACTTCTAACAATGGTTCCAAAAATTTCACTAACTGTAAAATTTAATTTCCACTCTTAACCAAATGACTTATTCAAAATTTGTTGTCTACACATACATATATAATAATTACCCTAACCTAAGCCTAGGGTTATCATTAGCTTATCTTATCAATACTACATGTATCGATGTATTTGCTAAAATGAAATTGAAAGTTTTATTACAAACAATAAATACAGCATGTACATCAGTGTTTCCATGCCACAAAATAAAACAAAATCGATAGATAAAGAACTAAATATTATGGTAAAGGAAATTTGATTGATAACAAAATATTAGATCAATAAAATTGCTGCGCAACCCTATATATTTTCGACGAGTCCACAATTAGCTTGACAGTAGTTTTTTCTTTTGACTTTCTTCAGCACAACAGGGTGTAGCCAAGCTCTTTCCAACATTTCTTTTTATGCCACCGAAAGCATTAATTTTAAATGATTTATGTTACTAGATTGTGCGTTAGGATCCAAACCTTCGAAATGGGCCTGTGCATAGTAATGTCAAGAAAGCTTTAAAATTCGAGTGTCATTGCGCTTTTGAGAAAAGGTAATAGGTCATGAGGTAGATATGAATAATATATAATATGTAGATGTAATAGCATTTCATTTAGTACGAAGAAACTCTCTCTGAGAGCTTTATTGGCAGCTAAAAAGGTATGAGAAGAATACTTGTCAATGTAAAACATTAAGAACTTGGCCGATCGGTTGCAACACTAGGGAGACTTGGGGTTCAAATCTAAATGATGTATAAGGTATAGTAAAAATAAATATATTGTTTTTCTAATAAATAGCCTTAGTAATCTGTAACTCGCGTTGTGATCGGATTACTTTATATTGCATTAGAAAGATAAGATATCGTACTACAACATACTTCCAAGGCAATTTGTGCTTGACTCATTATGGTTTTGGTTTCGTCACACGCAATTTCGTTTTCGTCGATTGAAGAGCCAATGGAAATCGTCGAGTCCGGTCGTCATGTAAGCACTGTTTCCATTACTCAAGAACAAAAATTACATAAAAAAAAAAACAAAAAAAAATTGGAACCATTTAGGTTGGATACAAAATGAGGTCTCTTATGACAACGTCAAGAGACTGTCAGCAATTGGACCCTGTAAAGAAATCAATTGCCCAGAGACGACCAGCTTTGGCCAGTAAAAGAGGAATTGTGTTTCATTAAGATATCGCCAGGCCACACAGATCGACTCGCCAGAAACTCCGGAAGCTTGGTTGGGAAGTTCTTATGCAAACAACTTATAGTCCGGAACTAGCACCAAGTGATTACTATCTGTTTCTGTCTATGGCAAATGATTTTGTTGGTGAAAAATTCACCTCTAAAAAAGCTTATGAAAATCGACAATCTTAGTTTTTGAAGTGACTAAATAATCATCCCTTTTAATATTTTAGAAAAAAGAGTATAGAAAGTAATATTCAAACACAAATAAAAAAATATTTTAAGAATTGCTTATTTGACAACAACAGCAGACACAATATGAACTCAAACCTTATTTTAAGTTGGAGAATATAACTCAAATATCAGTTTTAAATTATAATAAAAAAACTTTTTATTTGAAATGTTTGCTTAACTAATTTAGTTATCCAAATATTTGTCATTCTGGGTCAATATGTGTAAGCATGCCAAGTATGTCGATTGCGTGATCGCCAACACAAAGCAACTCAAAAATAACTAAAAGCGTTCTAAACAAATAAAAAGACAGCAAGTTCAAAAATATGAAAAAAATTAAATAGATACTCATAACAGGCCACATTAGCATTTAAATCGTCAACACTTGCTATTGTTTGCAAAACAAAACAAACTACAGTTCGTTTGGCGCACCCGAAATCAAATGTTGTAACCACCAACAAATGTGAGGTGATAAAACAAGTGTGCTTTATTCGCGCGCCTCAACAGGTAGCGCCAACTACAAAAGATTTTTCAGTTTTGTTTTTGTTTTGTCTTAAAAAAAAAACATAAATAAATAACCAAACGTACAGTGTGTAAACATGAAAGAATAACAATAGTGGGGAGATAAACGCAACAACAAAAAATGTAGACATCCTAAGCATGATTGCAAGAAGTGCTAAAATCATCTTGTTGCTATATATGTATGTATGTGTATAACAACTATGTCAGTTGTGTGTATTTGTTTGTATGTACATGTTGACAAGCAGGTTGTTGACGCTCTGATTAGGTATCTCATTGAGATTATGGAAATTAAAAAAAGAATGAAAATTCGACAGCGAAGAGGTTACGATAAAGTAAAGATATATGTACCTTTATTTACTGATATTTATATACCAATAGAGAGAAATTCGTAATGAGATCATTTTTTACTAGAATAGAGCTTTAACAGAGTTTATTTAAGATAACAGCCAATATTTTACCAAAGTTAAAAGATGACTTTTCCAAAAACGTTTACGATGACAGCATTTAAGGAACTTTCTGTTGGAGTTTAATAGAGAATTATGATTTTTGGTGGCTTACCAGAGAGATTCGTAAAATTTAGATGATAGATAAACGTATCTGCTATAGTAAATTCAGATGTTGTAGTTAGACCTAACCTTCAATCGTTTCGTACAATTGGTTCGTGAGATGTATTATTTTAGATCAGGGCTGAAGCCTTTGAACTTGGTAAAAAATGAAAAAAATAACAAACCAAAACCCTGCATATTCGAATTTTTCACACAAATTTTGAGGTTATGCAAAAAAAAAAGTGTATTTTAATTACCAACAACTTTGCCATTTAACTTATTTCCATAGAGATTGTAGTTTTTCCGGAAATCGAGATTAAGCGCTTTGTACCTCCCGACCGCAGATCTTCCGTAAATTATTTTTCCTTTAATTTTTGTTATATTCTCTACCTTTGCCAATGAGTTTAATCCAAATATTATTTTTTCGATTTTAAAAATTATCGACCATGATATACCCTGACCGTGAAAATTAATATTTTGAAAGAGATCGATAATAAGGAATTCAGTGTGGCACGAAGCACAATTTTTTGATAAACGCGGCAGATACCAAAATGTAGTTTGATGAGATCTACTTGGGCTCTACACCAGACGGAGCAACTAAGTCGAACCAAGTGGAAATTCAAAAAAAGGTTGTTACGGATTGTTTGCACAATCGAGATGTATCGTCATATCGTTTCTAATCAAAGTCTCATTCACAAATCTTTGTGTATTCTATTTGAAATGGGTTCAGCAGCAGCACACAAACGACCGATTCACTGTAACACCAACCAATTAGTACAAGTAAGATGGAAAAATTGCATGCATTGAGTTGCTCATTACTTCCGGCTCCACGGTATTCCCAGATCAATAAAATGGTTGTTGACGAAAGAAATTAGCTACTACTCGTTGAGTTGAAGGATCGCTCTAATGAGTGTATCGCTCTCGATAAATAATAAAATCGAAATTTGGTATAAAAAACATGGGCTTTTCTCTAAAATGATAATGAATCTAATGAATGTGAATTCAAGCAATCTAGTTCTGAATTTTTTTCGGAACGATGCCTAGAAAATATGGGATTTTTTGCACTTAATGTACATATGCTCGATTAAAGTCAATTAAGCAGTTGCAGTGAAAGAGAAAACGACTTCTTTGAGCTACATACAGATGTGAAAGTCCTTAAACAACCGATACTTTAATGCAGAGAGAGTTAGGCTCTCGCATGCCGGAATGGGTAACATCTAGCGGATGCATTATTATTGAACTCTATCACAGAAGCTCATTATGGGGCGACGCTAGTTTTTTAGCTGTGCGATGCTTTCGTCGTTAAACTCACATATATTGAACAAATTTAGCAAAAGAGAATCAATCGTTTAATGAGCAGAGTAGCCACCAATGCCTATATAACATTTTATTATGTGCATACTTGTATAGCTGTAGAATTTCTTGAACAAACATGTAAATGTATGTAAAAATG